CGAGGCGGGGAGCTGGTGGAAGTACGGTACAGGATGGAGCGTCTGGGAACACGGGAGGGCCTTAAAGGCGGTGGGAAGGAGAGAGGCGGGCGGGGGGGTGTTTAAAAAGCACGTTGTAGTTACTTTGAAAACCTGACTGAAGCTCCTTTGAAATTCTGCTTGCATCTCTTAAGATGATGCAGCTTGCGTGTTGCATGTTAACTCTGTAATGTTTTGTTTCTGGTCAGTTTTTCTTGCATGCCCCGATTGTTAATTTAATTATTAAATAAATTATTTTATTTAAATTATTATTATTATTGTTGTTAGGTATTAACTGTTGTTAACCCCGTTGCTGGATTAAAATGTCAGCTTTTCGAAAGCAGTTTATACCAGTTCAGCCCAACTAGTATTTAACAAAATTTCAACTGTAACGTGACACCAGTATGCAGGTGTATTTGTAGGATTGGTTTTGCTTTTTTAGGGTTTGGGAGCAGGTGTTTTTTAACTGCAAAGATCCTTCTTAATGTCTTCTGTCCATTTTTTTGACAGGATGAAGCAGGAATCCCAGGTATACTAGTTGGAGTCTCTGTAGATGGAAAGGAAGTCTGGTCAGAAGGTTAGTATATGGGAGTAGTAGTTGTGCGTGCTGTTGGGAAGCAATGAACGTTTTACAAACGAACAATTTGGACACACTGATCAGTCTGGGATTGCATCCACTTGATGTCCCGTCTCTGGACAGTGGCCAGAAACAGGCACCTAGGGAGTACGAAGTGATACTTTCCTTGGTAAACTTCAATAATTTCCAGGAATTGATAATTCATTAACTTCCTGAATGTGCTCGTATATCTCAACAGTTATGTTTAAGAACCTTTCTTTCATTAATTTGTCAGATCGGTCTTTGAATTTTCTTACACTCTAGGCATACAGCTGTACAGTGGTCTGGTAGAATTGTATATAGGAGGTAAAGAACTGTTCTCCCCACAGGAACTTACTTAATAGTCAAAGTAAGAATGGCTCACATTTGGTCATTTGTCTCCCATTTGTGGGCTGAGGTGTAGATTTTTACTGGGAAGGTACTGAGATTTAACAGGTGTCATCCTTCCAGAAATTGCAAGTGGTTTTTCTAGTTACACAGCTTAGTTTTAAATAGAGTCTGTTAGTACTGCTCATACCATGTAGGCATTTGATGTTTATTTAAAAAAACCACCAAACTGTGTGTCTTTTTTTCAGAAATATTTTCATAATGTGTTTTGGGTTTTTTGGACAACTTAAATGGTAGTAGTGAATGGCAACGTATTTCATTAATGTGTTATAGAATTTGAAAAAAAAAGTTTGTAAGTAAGATTGTTACTAACTTTTTTCTGATACTCTGTTGTTGCATTAACTCTTATATATGTATAAAGCCGATTATAGGTTTTCATTTCTTTTTCATCATGACAGAAGTGAGTTGGAGAGCCTCTGATACCTTTTGTAATGTGGCCTAATAAGAAAATTGTGCTAGAAACTTAATCACAAACTTTCTCAAATTGGATAGCTTTTTCTGGTCTCAAATTACCTAGCAATCAAAGCAGAAGTTTCTATAAGACTTCGGCAGAATCACTTCCTTGACATGCAGGAAAGTGCCTGAGGGAACTAGTGCCAGGGTTGTGGTTTATCACCAGGACTGCCAGATCCAGTAGCAAGACAACTACATGTGGGAGCATAAACCATGGCAGAGCTTTCTGTACCCTGCTGCATATGGATATAGAGAACAACATTGCCTTGAGTAAGGCAGCTGGGAGGTGGATAGCATTGCTCTAGCAGGCATCTGGCTCGTTTTGTTGTCCTCCTCCCTTCTTCATGGGGGGAAAAAATAGGAACAGGTGTAAGCTGCATGCATTCTGTGACCATGGTACTAAACCTGCTTTCTTGCTAAACTGATGGGAGTGATTTGAGATTTGGAAGATATTTTCACTGGCGGGTACAGCATCTGTGTTCACAAGCACCATGCAAGCACTTGAGTAGCAACTTTACATAAAAGAAAGGATCTTGGGCAACTGACATGTCATCTGTTTTGTTTCTTGTATTTTGGCAAGGTTTTTTTTTCTGAGTAGTTCATTCTCAGACTACAGTTTTATACAGACAGACATGCATTGCTTGCAGGCCTTGCTTGTACTGAAAACTGTAAATATGTCATTGCTGCATTTCATAGCTTTTTATGCTGCCACATCACTTGCACAGTTTCTTCAAACCAAGCTCAAACTGAAGACTAGTATGGGAGCTTGATAATGCTTTATTAATTCCAGTTCTTGCTACTAGACTCGTGGGTTGGTGACATAGGAAAACACTGGTATGGAGACTATTAAGCTGTCTTTAATTAAAAGTCATGCTGAGTGATATTGAAACGTAACTGTTTTGTGAAGCTTTACGGCTTAGGTAATTGCTGTGAGTTTGTGAGTGATTTCCTTTCTCAATTTCTGTATTGGTAAAATAAGACCCTTTACTGTTTCAGCCATTAATTCAGAACAATAAAATTTGTGACCATTGGTCAGTTGTTTTACAGTCTAGATTTTGGTCTCTTTAGTTTTTCTACATTGAATATTTGACCTCAGGAGCATAAATTTTGGCTTAATTTTCAAGCTCATTTATCATTAGGTTTGTTTTGTAGTCTTAATCAGTAACTTGGGATGCCATTGGCCATATAATGGGCTTTGATTAACTGTTCCTACTACATTAAAATGTTATTAACTTAACTGAAGCAGGAGCAGGGATAGTCCAATGCTTCATGTCCCAGTTTAGCTAGAGGAAAAACATTTTAAAGAGCCAGTAAATCTAGTTCATTGCAAATAATTAATTCAGCATGTCTCTATGCAAAATATTTACCACAGTGTTTTTATTTTCTTAAAGGTTTGGGTTATGCTGATGTAGAGAATCGTGTAGTATGTAAGCCAGAGACGATCATGCGAATTGCTAGTATTAGCAAGTGTCTTACAATGATGGCTGTTGCTAAACTGTGGGAAGAGGGGAAACTGGATTTAGATGCTCCAGTGCAGAAGTATGTCCCTGAATTTCCAGAAAAAGTCTACGAGGGTGAAAAGGTATGTAATGGTTTATTGGTAACACTTTTTTGGATTTTCATTCCTCTCATCGCACAGCCATATGTGTACAGGTCCCTGTATCTGGACCTATTCCTGTAAAACACCAAAAATCTTTTAGACAAATACTGATGTTTGCTGCTCGAAAAAGCAATGCTGGAAATTTGGATCTTCAGTTTTATATCAAGTGTGTAGTGTGCACATATGTATGTAAATATTTTAACTGGGTTTAATACATGATATTTAAAAGGTCTTATATCTTTGTCTCTTCCTCGTCATGTTGAATTTTACTTTTCTGGTGATTTAGTGTGTATCATATCTTTAATGAAGAGAGTTCACATTTAAATATTGTCCTTGCTACCTAGGTCGCTATTACTACAAGACTGTTAGTTTCACACTTGAGTGGGATTCGTCACTATGAAAAAGATATTACAAAAGTAAAGGAAGAAAAGGAAAAGGCAAACAGAGCAGTTAAACTGACGAAACCCTATCAGGATAAAGAACAAAAAGAAAAAGAAGGCAAAGGGATTGAAAAGAGTGATTCTGTCAAACCGAGGAAAGAACACGAAGGTGAGGTAAAAAGCCGAAATTCAAAACCTGGCAGGAGAGACAAGGAATTTGAGCAAGAAGAGTATTATTTGAAGGAAAAATTTGAAAGCGTGATTGAATCACTGAAGATATTTAAAAATGATCCTTTATTCTTTAAACCAGGTGAGTTTCTACTCGTTTAGACCAAAATGTGCTCCTCTGGTGAAATTTTTGTTTTGGATTGTTTTACATGCAGTGAGGATAGTAGAGTCCAGTAAAGAGTGTTTGTGTGTGTGGGCAGGGAGTGTTTTGTTCTGCTCCCTCCCCTTTTTTTTATTCTTGTGCCCCATTAAACGCTCAGCAGTGAAGTATTTGGGCTGTTCTGCACAAACCATCTGGTCATGTACTTGTCTTAAAACTGATGTAACTTTTGAAGACTGAACTGATCAGGATTTTATCAGTTGAATTTTAGATAACAGTCTTGTATAGATACCTTTACCGATCTACTGACTAAAAGAATTATGCTTATATAGGTACCTTCTAATGGTGTATCTGCACCGTAATCTAGGAAGTTCAAAATGTGATGTAGCCAAGACTTAAAAGGTAATACAGAGAGTCCCAGATAATGCAGGGGAGAAGAGAAAGTGGGACCTTAGGTAGAAATAAGACTTTTCTCCCAGGAGCTCTTAAGTAATGCAGTGAGTGCTATGAAATGTACCAGTTACTGAGTTTATAAATGCTAAAGCAGATTATAGTTTTGGTAACAAATTTGTACCTACAAAGTATTTTGTAAGTGGATACCAACTTGCTGTATTCATCCTCTGGGCCTTCTAGATATGAACCAAAAGCAAAAAGTTTTAGTGAGGCACTAAACCAGAGCTAAAAAATTCTACAGAAAGACCAGAGAATCACAGAATTGTTGAGGTGATTTATTGTTGGAATTATTTAAGTTAATTCTAGAGAAGACTTTGAGGAACTTCAGGTGTAAGTTCTAAATGAGTTAGGTTAACAGGCAAATGATACGCATTGCTGATAAAGAGTAAATAAGGTGCATTTAAGGGGAGAGGGGTAGGAAGGGGGAGAAGTTAACCACTTACTATCTTGGAGAGTTCTAGGAACCATTTCAAGCAAGAGATCTGTCTTGACAGTAGGCAGTTTGGCAGTTGCTTGATATGTAGATGTTTCATAAAAGGCATAATCAGTGCAAGAATGAGATTTAAAAAGATGAAATGTTTTGTAAATAAATTATATTGTCTTAAATAATATGCATGTTAGTGTTTGTATAATCTTTCAGGATATTCTAGAACTAGAAAACTAGAACTAGAAACACCATGATAAAAGTGATCGAGTCCTTTGAAAACCTTGAGCAATATCCTGATTTTGGCTGGGATAGAGTTAGTTTTCTTTCTAGTAGCTGGTTATAGTGCTGTGTTTTGGATTTAGTGTGAGAATAGTGTTGATGATATGCTGGTATTTTAGTTGTTGCTAAGTAGTGCTTACACGAGTCAAGGACTTCTTAGCTTCCCATGCTCTGCCAGGTGCACAAGAAGCTGGGAGGGGGCACAGCCAGGACAGCTGACCCAGACTGGCCAAAGGGCTATTCCATAGCGTATGACGTCATGCTCAGTATATAAAACCGGGGGACTTGGCACGGGCGGCAATTGCTGCCTGGGGATGGGCTGGGCATCGGTCAGCGGGTGGTGAGCAATTGCATTGTGCATCACTTGTTTTGTATATTAATAATAATAATAATAATATCTTCCTCTGCTGTCCCGTTAAACTGTCTTTATCTCAACTCACGGATTTTACTCCACCCCACCCCCTGATTCTGTCTCCCATCTTGCTGCTGGGGGTCGGGGTGAGTGAGCGGCTGTGTGGTGCTTAGTTGCTGACCGGGGTTAAACCACAGCAAGCGAGTACTACCCTTGTTTTTCCATCTCTAGGATATAGACACACAAGTCACAGTAGGTGAGCCTCTCTTAAGAAGTAAGTTTATGGTTTGCTTCAGCTTTCCAAATCCAGGCATCCTTTTTAGAACTAGTATGGAGAATCTTGTGGAAAGTATGTTAAATGTCAGTCTTCACATCTTGGCATGAAACCTGGCTGTATGTGCAAATCCTTGAAATTTTTTTAGCACTGCTCTCAGAGCTACCTGCGCTTAGCAAGCATCTGTGTCTGCTGCTGTACAGAAATTCCTAGGGTCCAGTAGCATAAGCTCGTGATTCACATCATATTAAAATGGAGGTGGGTGGGTGGGTCTTCTAATTGATTATTTGTTGCTATATATAGTTTCATTTGCATATGTGATTACTTAAATTTTATCCTTTTGATTCCATTTAAGCATCATGCGGCTAACTTCTTTTTTTCCCTTTCTCATTGTGTTTCTTCAAGGTAGTCAGTTCTTGTATTCAACATATGGCTTTACTCTCTTAAGCGCTGTTGTGGAGAGAGTTTCAGGACAAAAATTTACAGATTATATGCTAAAAATGTTTCATGATTTGGATATGCTATCAACAGTACTAGATGACAATGAAGCAATGATATATAACAGAGCAAGGTAAACTTCCACACACCCCCAATTGTTGCTCTTTCTACCTTTATTAAGCCAACTTAATTAAGAATGTGTGCATTTCCTGCCCCCCCCGCTTTTAAATGAAATGGCTTATGTTATATAAAAGTTAGTTGTGTAACTGACTTTATGTCAACGTTATGGTATTGGTTCTGTAATTAGCATTTAAAATTACAGAATAGGAAATAATTATTTCCTGTTATAAGAGTATATATGGGAGGGAGTGGCAGGGGTGAATTTGTAGTTTGCATTTATTTTGGGTACAAATAAGCAGTGTAAATAGAGTAAAATAAAGGAGTAACTAGGAGATTATGTTAGAATATATAGTTACGTTGGTTTGCTTAATATACTGACTTTTTAAGAGTTCTGTGGAATTGTAATAGTCTCACAATAGCACAAGGTTGTAACAAATTAAATTGTAGCATGAATTTTAACCAGAATTAAAATTCTGTTTAACACAGAACATGCTTTACCAATTGATTTATTTTTATTAACTTAAAAAAAACCCCCACAAAACAAACAAAAAAAAACCCAACAGAGAAATTTATGGATATTCCATTCCAATACAGTGGATAAGTTAATTCTTGTCTTTCTCTTCAGTCTTTATTTTATTGACCTACCTGTCTGGGCTCTGAAATTGATTCATTGACTCACCTGTTAAATTTTGGTCCAAGAGAAGAATTCTAACTGAATCACAAAGGCAGGTTATGGGAAAAGTCTCATGAAAATGAGACTCAAACTTCTTAAAAGTTTGGCTTCTAAAATGCTCTCAAAAAATGAAAATGGTGATGAACACGTTGAATCCAAGGTTTATAGTACTTACATATAAGTGTATATTTAAAGTGCCTGCATGTGTGTGTGTTTGCGTGTGTGTACGTACACGCACACACAAAGCAGTTTGTAATGTTTTAGGGATAGCTTTACTGCTGTATTCCAAGATGCTTTGTGCTGGTATTTATTTTGCTTCCAAATTTTCAGAGGCTCTTCTGCCTGTAGATCTGGATGCTAGTGATGTTCTTATAAATTATCAACTTGTACAGTCAAGTTCTTGTCAATATGTATCTGTATATTAAACCTTTTATAAACTGAAATATGGTAGGGATGAAGGAACTGGGACAGACAATGTTTTGGAGTTTTTTTTATGGGCTACTTGTTATTAAGCAAAACTGAGATGCTAATGTGATGGTTTTGCTTCCACAAATAGCTAGCTTGGTGCCTCAAACTACAACATATCGACGTGTTGTGATTTGTTTAACAGTTTGGTTATACTATATTTCACTGACATTAAAATGTTTAAAAATTCACATTCTGCGTCTTTTAGCGGTGTAAGTCAAGCATTTCAGCATCTTTGTAATAGGTTTTGTTGTGATCAAAAAGCTGACTATAGGGACACTGAGATAATCAAGTCACTGGCAGAGTTAATGGTAGTCTTGGACCATTCGTCTCTCTTCCTTTGCTTCACCTTCTGATTTTCAGTATTATGGCTTTCAGAAGTTCCCTGAATGTTTTCCAATTTAAGTGCAGACTAGATAGGGAGTGTATCTGTACTGTTTAATAGTGGACTTGCCCTGCCCACCCACCTTTTTTTTTTTTTTTTTTTTTTTTGTGTGGTTCCTTTTCACAGCTCTCCACATGGACCTCTTGTGGTCTAAAGGTCAAAGGCTGAAACTCATCAGATTATATAGTTATTCAACATTCCTTTTCATATGTTGTATGAAATGAATCCAGTCATGATTGGACTGTTTCTTTCAAAAGCATAATTCAGTCTGCACTCCTGTTGTGTTGTTCCTGATAGTTTGTTCTGCAATTCTGGTTGGTAGTTTCTAATTTGTACTTTAATGACAGGTTTTGCAAGACTCTTTCATGCTTCTCACTTGTCTTAGTAGTTACAGAATATTCAGTTGTCGTAGTATATGGCAACTGTAATGGGGTGGTGGTGGGAAATAAATCATAAATGGAAACTACTGTCTCAGAGCAGTCACCTAAGACTTCAGTGAAATTTCAGCTCAGTGTCTGATAATCGTGGGGTAGTTTTAGGATTCCGCTTTCTTAAACACTTTAAATCTAGTGCAGAGATTTAAGAAAAATCCTGTGCTGGCTGATCTATAGATTTCTGTCACATCTCTTATTTGTATATTGCCTTTACTCTTTCTATATACCAAGAGTAAGTAGAAGGATTAGTACTTTTATTGATACTAAGCTTCTAACCTAAGAAGTCACCTTAATTTTTGTTTTCCTGTCAGAATTTCCTGTTTATTTTTCTGCAAGAAATATATTTTAGAAAAAAAAAATTTTTTAAAATTCTAACATTTTGGTGAGAACAAGTTAATACATGTTCAGTTTACTCTTTTAAGGTAGGGCGGCTTAAAATAGTTGTGCATAATATCTGAGAATGACAAGTTGAATTTTCTTGAATTCTAGGTGTTATGTTTACAACAAAAAGGGACGGCTGGTAAATGCACCGTATGTGGACAACTCTTACAAGTGGGCTGGTGGTGGCTTTCTGTCGTCAGTAGGTGACCTTCTGAAATTTGGAAATGCCTTGTTATACAGTTATCAAGCCGGACAATTTAAAAACACTAATGGCAAACTTCTTCCTGGGTACCTCAAACCAGACACAGTTGCAATGATGTGGACCCCAGTGGCAAAAACTGAAGTATCGTGGGACAGGGATGGTAAATACGCAATGGCTTGGGCTGTAGTAGAGAAAAAACAACAATATGGCTGTTGCAGACAGCAGAGACATTATGCATCTCATACTGGTGGTGCAGTGGGGGCAAGCAGTGTCCTCCTAATTCTACCTGAAGAGCTGGACTCTGAAGCTATAGATACTGGGCTAGTGGCACCACCTAGAGGAGTAATTGTTAGTATTATCTGTAATATGCAATCAGTTTCGCTCAACAGCACCGCCTTAAAGATTGCAAGGGAATTTGATAAAGAAAAATGGGCACAATATATAGATTAAAAAAAGAGATACGTGTAACTGAATTCACTGTACTGAAACATGAAAAACAAACGGAGAAGGTTGTAATTGGACTTTGAGATCACTAAGAATATGTGAAGAGAAAGCATCAAAAATCACTTAATTCTGCTAGTGGTGCTAAACTTACGTGTAACTGGAATTCATCTCTCAGGGAAGTTCCTAACTTACAGAAAAGGGGAATGTAACAGTCAAATTTGACTTCCTGTAGTACATGTGTAAATTATCATTATATTAGCAGGTTTTTTTTCTCATCCAGTCAAGCACTTGTCCAATACTAAAAAAACTAGCATTGGTTTCTTGCACTGAGAAATACAACAACAAATTATCTATCTTAAATGTTAAAATTTTGGAAAATTTCACATCTTGATTTGAGCACACAAAGATGTAATTCATTATTCTCACGGTTCCAGTCTGCCAAAACTGTTCAGTATTACTTTTTTAAAGAAAAATGGTTTTACTGATGATTTTTTATATTTTCACATAGTGCTTTTCTTATTTGCTTAAAAAGCAAAAAACCCCAGCAAAACCCAAATCTTGAAGCTACCTCCAGAATGCAGATTTATACCAGAAGTATGCTTTTGTCAGAGCTGTGGGTTGTTAAGAATTAGAAAAGAATGAAGCTAGAGTAATGTAAGTAAAAGTCTTTTTGTTATTTAGATGTCCTCTCTTCCATTTTTATTGGACACAGAGAATGTGTGAAACTCGTTTACTGTGAAATAAGGGTATTATTTCCACAGTCAAATATGCCTGAAGAGCACAACGTGGTGAGCTGTCAAACTGCCTCGTTGTTTTTGAATGCTAACTTTGGTAGCCAGAAATGGCACTGATTTCTGTACTGTAGGTATTCCTTTAAATATAGGAATTAGGAACTGAAATAACTCAATAAAATTTAAAACCCATTCTTGAAGCTGGTAGTAGAAGTCTCAGAGACTTTAAGAGTTTTTTTTTATTTAAAAACCATCCTTTTTTCCATTTGGAGACCTGCCTCAAGGAGCTACTTTTGCACAAGGTTGAGCAAGACATTGTGATAGAGTTCCACAAAAGCATTTTCTAATCTTCCATTTTACTGTAGAAATACAATAACATCTGAATATGTTAATTTTATATATTCCATAATGACATGGAAGATCTCCGTGATCTCCAAGATTTACCCCCATGCCACTTCCCCTGCAGTTACATCAGACAGTATTTCCAGGGTAAGACAAAACAAAATATCCTTCAGGAAAGGTTTGAATACTTATGTCCCTGCACTGTTTAGCAGCTCTGCTTCTCTGAATTTAAGGAGCAAGATGTCTTGGATAACAACAGCTAGCGAAAGATACTTTTACCTGTCTCTTTCCCGAGATAGTGCTTTTAGTATTAACATCATAGTTGTTACCTGCCCTGTGATGAAACAACATGCTGTCATGTCTGTTCCCAGAAAGCCTATGATAATGCTTATTACTTAAGACTGACAAACCAGGAAATATAATACTTTGAGGTGTGTTTTACCTACATTTTTAATTGAAGCTAGTAGGACTGATTTAGTACTCTTCATAATTATAATCATTCTTGTGCCTTAAAAACAGTAAAAGCTTACACCTAAACTATTTGCTTGGATTTTCTGTCTCACTCACCAAAACTTCACTTTTTTATTCAGTAATAATGGGTTGTCTTTATCTCAAGAATATCAAATCAGTCGAGACAAGAGAGAGAACCTTTCTGAACAAACTTTCATTTGGTCAGGCAATAAATTATTTACTCTTCCACTGAAGTCTCTGATATTGTTTGACAGTTCCAATAAATACAGAAGTACTGGAGATGAGCGTTGTCTACAATAGCAACTTTTTTTTTTTTTTCAGTCTTGAGCACCTGCTAGGTGGGTAAACATGCAGGAGCAGAGGTCATTGCCTGTTTTACATAGGGAACAAGAGTAAGTAGTTCCGAGTTGTTTTCATGTTGAAGAATACATGAATAGAAATAGACCAAATACAATGTTTTAAATACAGAAAATCTGAAAAGTAACACTTATGTTAGGATTTATAACATACTTTTCTTGTATGATGCATCTGTTTTGCAAATGGTATTTATTGTCCTTGAAAACCATTTTGCATACTTGAGAGAAAACAAGTTTCACTCACTGACCATTGTGCTTGGGTTTAGACAAAGACTCAGAATGTAGAAGGCGTAGGTTTACCATTATGCTTGTCTGCATATGACTATAATACACTATAGTGTACTAACACTATACATGTCAATAGTTGAAGTATGTATGAAATTGAATAATGGTAAGAAGTGTCTAAGGCATTTCTAACACCAAGATATTAATGACAGTGTCTCACTCCCCTCATAGAATATGTTTAGCCACCAAGTTTTTGTATGCATACCATGTTCTTTATACTGTATCTCCTATAACTTAAGGCTTTTAAAAAAAACCCTCTGTTGTCACATGTACAGTATTGGAGATGCTATGTCTAAATTTCATTTTCCAGTACTGAAACAAGGTGGGTCACTGACTTTCTCTGATTTGGTATTTATTTAATCATGAGTTCTTAGCTTTTGGGTGGAGGAAGAGAAGGCAGAGATATGGGAGACTAGTAATCAGTCTGGCCTCAGCACATGTATTCAGGTCACAAGTGAATTAATATTGCTACTTTGATTTTTGTTCTGAAACCAGTTATTTGATGGACTGGCATTAAGTGTGGGGAAACTGGTCAATTAAGAGCAGCTTTCATGATAAACTTGCTCTTAAATTAACCTTTATTGCTAAAACACAGTATGGCACTGACATAAAACTGTACTTTTCTTAAAAGGCATGTATACTAAATTGGTGCACCTATTTCTGTATCAGACACCTACTTTTTGTATCTGGTAATTATAAGTGTTCACTGTTTGAATTAACTGAAATAAAACTTAGCTTGCAAATGCAATGAATTGTCATATCAGGTTTGTTTTTTCTGTTGTTTTTTTTTTTTTTTTTTTTAAATTGACTAGAAACATACAAGTTTTAAGTCATAAAAAGAATACAGGTTAAATAGAAATTCCCAACAATAATTAGCTCACCAAGACACCCGATAGTTTGAAAGAGATGTTGATACGTAACTTGAGATATTATTTAGTAAAATAAGATGTGTGTAAGACTTTGAATGTTTTCTCCTGGTTTAAAAAAAAATCCACTTTCAACAGCCATTTAGAAAGGGATGGCTTTTAAAAACTAACTAAAACTTGTTTCCTCATTGCAAAAAGGTAATTATTTAATGTCAGTATTTAATACTGAAAATATGCATGGTTTTGCTCTACTAGTTTTTTTTAATGACTGGATACCATTCACAGCTGTTAGTGTAGTTTGCTGACTTGGGGTTGCTTATATACCGTATGCCTTCTCTATACTGAATGCTTTCAGTGTTTTGCAAAAGGCTCCTTTCCTTTTTTTTTTTTTTTTTTTTTATAGAAATCTCAGTATAGAATACCAAATGCAGTTTCGAGACCAGATTAGAGGGAGGGAAAAACCATGCATTCCAGAAAAACACCTGAACATAAGTGAGTAACTTTACATTTTTATTTATCGCCGCATTACTCAACACGGTAAAGGGACTTAAAGCAATGTTGAAAGCAGGGACTTAAAGCAATGTTAAAAGCAAATGAGCCATTTAAAATCTATCTAGCCTTTGCAGCCCTTGCAGTTAGGGTAGCTGCAGTAATAAAGCATACAAAATGCATTCTTACAGCAATTTCTGTCACCATATGCATTACACTGAAGTAGTTGATGATTAATGAGAGGAAGGATGCAGCGAGGGAAAGGATGCAGCAAGTCCAAGGTTTTTATGTTAAGTGACACTACCGAATTAACAATACACTGTTTAAAAGCAAAATTATAAAAATACAGCTCAGTTGTCTGCAAACTTGCAGGAAAAACTTGTACTTCATTTATTGAAAAAGAGATTCCAGCTCATTAGTCAGCAGTAGCATGTAATTTTTACAAAATCAACTGTAATTACATTGTTGTATTAACAGGCATTTTTAAACTGGTAAGGCTTTCAGGAACACAAATCCAAAACGACATGCTGAAGTGTTCAGTGTTGCTTTCTTCTAAATGAACAGCCTGTAAAGAAATCACATGAGAATAGAGATGAATAGTCCTTAAATTGTTAGACTGCCTTGGAAAATTGCCCACCCAACCTAAGTAGGAAAACTGATGCAATAAATTTAAACTTCATGTACCACAAGACATGAAGATTTAGGACTTTGAGTCTTCTCTAACTCAACCAGAACAACCTGGCTGTTGTATAACTCAAAATAAGGCTAAGGTGTACTATTTCTTTTCTTCCAGATGCCTTTTAAAATTTCAGTCTACTGTTCTATCCCTTAGTGATACAAACCCCAAACTGAAACAGCTGCAAGGAGTGTTGATACCTTTTCAACTGCTCAACAGCCTTACTTTAGGTATTCTGTCCTCATATAAACTACATCTGTATAGTAGCACATGGTATAAGCATTACTATATGTAATTTGCATATATATTTACCTTTTGCCCTTTAAACAAAACATGAATAAAACCTGGATTTGTTCTTTAATTTTTTTCAAACCCTCAAGTGGTTCCAGTGTTTTTCATATACCCCAGCCATTGGGTTGCATTTCAAAATAGTGGTGCTATACCAGTTTTCTCTATATAATTATCAGTGGTTATTTGTTCCCTTATAATTTATACAAAACAAATTTTGATTAAGTAACATGAGCCAGGGAACTGCCTTACAGTACTACTGTTTAAAAACAAACAGGCAAGCCACCACCAACTAGCAGTGGCACAGAATTGCTCTAGCCTGGCAAAAGTACCCTGCCCCTTCAATGGTGCTTTTTAATAGTCTAAACTTGGCTCAGAACTAAATAGGCAGTATTTATTACAGGTAGGATAAAGGAAAGGGCAAGTCAAAGCACCTAAAGTCAAGTGTGTTTGATCACAATGTAGCTGCTTAGCTGCCTGGCATATCTGTATAGCCATTTAAAAACAAGAATCTGAAGAAAAAAAT